CCCTAACCCTATTTCTGTTTCATAGTTTTTGGATATTTATTGTAACTCATAACTATGTATAAATCCCTATTTATTTTTTTAAAGATTTATTTATGCATACAACAACTGGGATACAGGTCAGAGGTGTGGGGGATGAGAGGGCCCACCAGAGACAAGAGTGGGGAGCACAACAGGCAGATGTGTTGAAGTATACTACTGAGGGGAACAGCAGGTGGGTCAGGAGAGGTCTGCTGTGCCAGGTGGGTCACCTTCCTGGCCAGGGATTGAACTTATGTTGCAGTGGCTGTGGACAGCTCCATATCGCTGCACTTCAACTTGTTGCGCCACCAGGGAGGGTCTGTCATGTATCTCTCTCTTTTTTTAAAAAGATTTATTTATTACAGAATTGGGGTACAGGCCAGAGGCTTTACCAGAGAAAGAGTGAGGAGCAGAACCAGCAGATCGACAAAGTACACTGCTGAGGAGAGCAGTGGGCCAGACAGGTGCATGGGTCCCCTTCCTGGCTGGGAACTCCAGCTGAAGTAGCTACAGCTAGTTTCGCAGTGCTGAGCTATTTAACCCATTGTGCCACCTGGAAGGGTCCCATGTATCTCTTTATGCATTCTAAGAAAACTTAAATTCTTTGTCACATTTACCCCAAAGTATTTTAATAGGAAATAAATTTATATTGATTGTTGTATTTGCTATTTTTTTGAATTCTTTGAAATTAGATCTTTGAAATTCCTGTTTGCAGTCACTGTTTTTGTTGTTGTTGTTTTGTTTTGTTTTGTTTTGTGCTCTTTCTCAACACCCTTTCATTCTACTTGACTACTTGATGGTTTGTGGATTTCCTTATTTTGGTCAAAGCCTCCAGCTCAGATTCAGATCTCATAATACGGTATTTCAAATGTCTGTTCTGTTCTGCCTTGAGAGCTACCACAGGCCCAGTTAATGAGCCAGTGGTCTTCCTGGTTAAGCTACATGTCCCTTTACCTAATAAGGTCTATAGTTCCAAATATGCTGCAGCCCAAGTCAATGCTTGGGGTAGTTTTTGTTCTGCTTCTTTTTATAAGTCCCTGGTTTAAGCTAGAGCTGTGAATGTGGCTCTAGTTCAAGTTTTCAGAAGCACTCTCAGTCCTTGTATTCTACAGAAGCTGTCTTCATATTCATCTGTTTACCTTTGGATTTATCGCCTTTTAAGTCTTTGTCTTCCCCTCTCTCCTGTCCTGCTGTCCAAGTTTCATGTGGTGTTTCCTATTTGTATGTCACTAGCAAAAACAATGCTGTGCTTTATTTTTACATTACATGGCAATGTGCACTGTTTTGTTTTATATAGTATACAAAATACTATTGTTTAGAAGACATGCACAAGATATGTACAGTTGAATTTATACACTGGATCCTAGAATGTAATTGGTGGAGGGAAAATTTACTAGTTATGCTGAGTGAAGAAACCAGAAGTTATATAACACACAATAAACATTCCTGTGCTTTGAAGGGCAACTGCATCATGTACAACTTTGACTGTTACCTCCAAGGCGGTAAGACCTGCTTTACATTAACAAGTTTAGGATGACCATCAAGTATCAGGATACAACTGTATGGTTTTATGAATCATTCCCATTTCTAGTTTAAGAGATTAATATTTTCATGCTGACCTTTATATTACTGCTTTGGACATAGACCAGATAAAAAGGTCAATATGAACAATCTCCAAATAAAATAGACCTGTAGCCTAGGCAATGAAGTGATCCAACATTGGAAGACTTTAAAAATGCAACTCTTTGGGGTTCTTAAAGTCTATCTGCACTGCATGGCAGTGTGCATGTTTTGTTTTATATAGCACACAAAATACGATTGTTTAGAAGACATGTACAGTGCAGTTTGAGCTATATTATACAACATTAGGTTACATAAGACTCTTCCTCACATGTCATATGCACCTTTACAACATTTGTCCCAAGATGCAAGGACAAATGTCTACACTAAGGAAGACATTACCTTTCATTCCATAGGGACACTTACTCACAGTGGAAATTGAGTGCACCCACCTACGAGTCTTCATTTTACTTTCTGCCAAATTTACCACCCAGGATGAGTGGCTTTTCAGTTTGATCACCTCATAAGCTCTGTCAGCCACTTGTTTGTGAACCTCTTCTCACTGTTCCTTATCTGCATTAGTGCATCTGCAACGTGCAGGCTTCAGGGAAATACAACATTCATTCCACTCCAAACAGGCACACAGAGTCTCCATGCTCTCCCTATGGACCCACCCATGACAGCTGAATGGGTGAATCCAGACTTTCCCACATTAGATAAAAGAACTGAACTGAATCTAGATTGAAACCACTTTCAATATCACAATTTTAAGGAGAGCCACTTATCTTCTTAGCCACATAGGGCAAAATATCCACTACAAGCATTAGGAATGATGGATTTAAAGATGTTCCCATTATGCTGGACCAAATTAAGTCAGTCCTTTCTCTCTCATGATGTGCCCCAGCTGTGATAATAACTAGCTTGGAGTTTACAGTCTCATGATAGTCTTTGCCAGAGACAATTTTTGGTGTTCTAAGGAAAAGGCTGCCATGTTGAGGATCTATCATTTCTCCCTTCAATTAATCCCACAGGTTGTCAACAAAAGCAAGTCCCTTCATTAAGACACTGATAACACAGGCCAAGCCAACAGCACCAGCTCTAACAACTGTTATCTTATTTTGGGTAGCATATTCTTCCTTAAGGAGATTCTCAATCAACTGATCTTTGACAGCTGCTTCATTGGACTCAGAAGCTAAAGGAACCCTGAGTGCTTCTCTGGCGAGCATCAGTAGCACACATGGGACCTGGGCTTGGTGCAGCTGCTCTGTACACAGTCTCTGTCTTAATTCAATTCATAACATTGTGTTTGTCATTTTTCTGGCCCGTGAAAAATGTCTTGTTTTGATCTACATATTCTCTCTCCACCCTCCACTTCATTTATCATGTACTATATTTGAAGCAGAGATGTACTGAAGGGTAATTTGCTGAGCTATCTAACTGGAAACTCCTTCTTTTAAAAAAGGAATTAAAAAAAATATTTTTAAAGATTTATTTATTTATGCAGACGAGAACTGGGGTACAGGCCAGATGTGGGGGAGCGTGGGGGAGGTGGTGAGAGGATTCACCATAGACAGAGTGGGGATTAGAACAGGCAGATCTACTGAAATACACTTCTGAGGGGAACAGTGTATCACCTCCCACATGAGGTCAGCCTCCACGTGGGCTGGGGATCAAACTCATGCTGCAGTGGCTGCACAGAGTTTCATGTGCTGTGCTTTAACACTTTGAGCCACCAGGGAGGGTCCCCCTCCACCAAAAAATGGAAATTCTTTATAGAAAAAGAAAATAGTTTTCAGTTTCTAAAAAAGCAGTGAAAGTGTGTCTCTGCTTGTAAGATCATTTTCTGCCAAAAACATAGAAAACTTAGTGATAATTATGGCTTATTCTCCCCAAAATGTAAGGCCTTTATTGTTTCTACATTATCTAGCATCTCCGCTATCCTTCTCTTCACCTCACTTAAAACTTCCATTCCCAAGAGTCATAAGTGGTCAGTTCTCTGTTAATTTATTCAAATAATTTAAGTATCAAGTGGAGTTATAAAACTTATCTTTAAGAACAGTAAGGAGTGAGGGCACTCCCTAGTGGTGCAATGGGTTAAAATGCAGCACTACTAAGCTAGCTGTAGCAAGAGTTTGATCCCAGGCTAAGGAGGTGATCCACAAGGCACAGCAGTGCTCTCCTGTCCTGCCTACTGCTCCCCTCAGCAATGCATTTCAGTCAGTCTTCGTGTTCTGTTCCCCTCTAACTTACATACATTGTATTTTTTTTCATCTCATATATGGTCCCCAAGAAATTCCCATCACCAATTCACACTTGTACCATCACTGTAGTCCTTTGTGCACTTCCCACCCTTGTTTTGATCCAATTTCCTTCTCCCCCCTAAAGAATGTCTCTGGTTTATATTTGCCTATTGACTTTGGTTTTTACTTTGTTATAATTACTTCCCCCCATCCCTTACTTGGGTCCCCTACATTCCCTCTGTAGGAGACATCATTACATGCACAAAATGAAGAATGAGGTAAATAAAATAAAATAAAATAAAAAGAGAAACCACTAGTATTTTCCTTCTCTTTGTGGCTAATTTCACTGAGCATGATTCCTTCTAGTTTTATCCATGTTGCTGCAAATGTCATGAGTTTATCATTTTTGACTGCTGAATAATGTTCCATTGTGTGTGTGTGTGTGTGTGTGTGTGTGCGTGTGTGTGTGGGTGGATGACAATGAAACATTTAGTGGGGGCATGGCAAGAAAATGTAATCATGAAACCTATAGAGAATTGTAAACTAATATGAACTTGATTTAAAATAAAAAGAACAATATGAATAGTCTTTTAACTTGGTCCTACATATATACTTAATTTGAAAAAAATCCTTTGTCCACCATTTGGCTCAACAAAATGTAATTGATGCTGAAGGCATAAGAAGAGTCACAAATCCATCATGAAACTTATGGCATCCGACCCTCTTCACAGAAAAATGTTCACAAGTTTTGCTTAGAGAGTTTGTGAATACTTACTTGGTCAAGATATCTCCCAGTCAAGGGTGAAGCAGTGGGTTTAGAACCTACTTTAAGATTTTAAATTATCAATTCTCATAGGAAGAAAATTATCCTACCTCATGGAACCCTCAGAATACATGCCTTTCTGAACTCCTTTGAATGGTAGCTATTAGCTCCATGTGTTAAATCCACTTCTAATAATAACCTCCAATTAATATTCAACAACATTGTCATGTTCCTTTTGTTCTGATTATACCCAAGACTACACATAATAAAGAAAATTTCAAACAGAATTAAATAACATTTTTCTTCATGGACCATTTGCTCCACAAAATCCCTAATGCCCAAAGAGTTCAGTGATATACACCCCACAACAATTACTAGTTTCCTTTATCTGTGACCCTAAATGCTGGTGTTTTCATTTAGAAAATATTTTTTCTTAAGTGAATTTTTGATATTTTATGACTAACATACATATTTTCATACAGGGTACACAAAGGACATTTCATCAACTTTAATACTGAGTTCTTCAGTAATGAGGACATGATATTAAGAGAGTCTCCCAGAATCTGCACAGTCATCCCCAACTTAACTAGCTTCTCTGTCTTTTTCTAAGAGAAGCAACAGTGGGGTTTTCCTATTGCCATTACAGGTGTGTTTTATTGTTGTGACTCTCCCTCACTTGAAGATTCTGTTTCAGTGTTTGTTTCTTCTTTGACTTCAGGTTGTGCATCAGTCACTGGACCAATCCCCAGCCTTGACTTCTCCATGGGAGTCACAGCGACATTTTGATCAAGAGGAAGAGATCTGGCTCTTAGGAAGTTGAGGAAGGAGACAACCCCTAGAAGAAAAGAAGAACATGAGGTAAGTTTCAACAGACAGATGATCTTTTGACTTTTAAAATTCTTACTCATCTGTTAAACACTCAGTTCAACAATCCTCTTTTCAATGAAGCCAACCCTCCTTTCCCCCAAGAGAATTACATTATCCTTGTGTGCTCCCATTGCACTATAGTATTTCTCATGTGCTTAGGACAATGCCTAAAATTCCTAAAATCAAATGGTGGCTTCTCCTTTCTACTTGATCTTGGGCAGGTTACTCCACTATTCATGTCTCAGTTAGTGGTATAACTAATTCTAGGTTTTTAGGCTCTAAAGTCCATGTTTTCTTCACCATAGTGCACTGTGTGTCAATGCATAAATGTTCAAAGTAGAAAGAAGCAGTAGTTTTATATCCCCCAGATTATACCTCCCTTTCAAAAAGTGATTTCTCCTTCCATCCTTTATGCATAACATAGGGAACTGACTCACCAGCAAAGGTGTATAAGAAATCACTCCACCAATTAAGATAATAGGTCCATAAGAGATCTGACTCCATAATATCCCTAGTATGCCACTGAACTTGTGCCAGAAATAGGATGAGGCAGAAGAGCAAGGAGATAGCTAGACCAAAAGAAAAGATGTCATAACTTATTAGTGCCTTCAATCTGTCTTGACCGCCATCCCCAACTCTTCTCTGGTTTCCAGATAATGCATATATGGAAAGGATCAAAAGGATCGAATCTTGGGGATTGACCAAGTCAAGAGAGAGAAAGGGGCATCTACTTCTTCCCTGGAATAAGCCAGTTAAAGTGTGCTTTAGGGCCTCCCTGGTGGTACAAGGGGTTAAGTCTCAGCACTATGAAGATATTCGCAGCCACGGAAGCACAAGTTTGATCCCCAGCGGAGGGGCGGGGGGGTGACCCACATGGCACAGCAGACCCCTCTTGTCTCATCCGCTGCTCCCCTTAGCAGTGTATTTCAGTCTGCCTGCCTGTTCAGCTCTCCACTCTGTCTCTGGTAAATCCTCTCACCACCATCACCCCCACCTCTGTCCTGTACCCCAGCTCTTGTATGCATAAATAAACAATCTTTTAAAAAATAAAGTGTTCTTTATATAAGATAGGACAGGTACTGGTAGATTGATGCAATACTGAAGAAGCAAAAAAGTGTAAGTAAAAGAGGATGAAAGCCCCACAGAGAAACTGTGTTCCCTTGACAGTTACCATGGTATTACCATGCTAGTATAGGTCTGTACCTGAGATGAAGCTGAGCATGGATACCTTCAAATCCAAGTTGGATGTCATGTTTCCTCGTCTAGGGAGGCAAGAATTGAAGAGCCATCCTAGGCAGATAAGTATGGTGATGACAGAGATGATGAAGAAGGCTCTGGAATATTGGATGTAATCTGGCAAAGAGAGGGAGAAAGGAAAGATTAGTTCATCCACTAGGTGACCTACCTTTAAGAAAATCAGGAAATAAAAAATTAGGTAGTCTTAGAAACATGAGTGAGCACACAAGAAGATGAAGCAGTGTTTGGTATGTGGTATCCAAGGCACACTTCATTAATACTTGGGAATTTCTTTACTATGAAAATAAAACACTCATTATTAAACTAAAGATAACATACAAACAGTTCTGGGTGCATTAGCACATATCTTTGATATCAAACATTTATATTAGAGGTATGGCTGTAAGAACAGGGGAAAAGGAGGGAGGGGAATCAAAATAGAGAAGGGAAGAACACAAGAAACTATGGTGATGGGTCCCTGATGCTGTGGTGGTGGGAGAACTATGAATGCTACACCTGAGGGGAGAAATCAAAAAACTGTACAGAAATGAACAATGATGTAAGAAAAAAAATATAAATAAATTTAATTATAAAAAGAGTAGGGACCTCCCTGGTGGCACAAGAGGCTAATACACAGCACTATGAAGCTACCCACAGCCACTTAGGCAAGAGTTCGAACCTCAGCCATGATGCTGATCCACATGGTGCAGCTGACCTCTCCTGTCTTACCCAGGCTCTCCCTTAGCCATATATCTTGGTAGATCTGACTGTTCTGCTCCCCACTCTGTTTCTGGTGAATCCTCTCACCCCCCACATCTCTGGTCTGTACTCCAGTTCTTGTATGCATAAGTAAATAAATCTTAAAAAAAAAAAGTTAGAAAGAGTTTCTATCATGATTGTACAGATTAAAATTCATGATTCTATCATGATTGCACAGATTAAAATTTTTTCTTGCTCTTAATTCTAACAATAATAGATGTTCAATGGAAGCTCTGAAAAGACTACAAACATTGAAGCAACAGGAAGAAAATTAGCCACAGCCCCACTACTCAGAGGTAACCATTATTAATCTTTTATTTATTTTAGTATTTTCCTATTCTTTGTATATTATGAACATGATGTTGAATTTCACGTGATTTTTTTTCTTAAAGATGACTATAAAATAATATGTTAAAGACCTTCTTTAATGATTTACCCATTATTGGGATTGAAGTTTGTTTCTGTCTCTTCTCTTTCAAACGTATGCGGCATGTGCAGGCCTTTTCAGCCTATGACTACAAAATGAAATCACATTTAAGTTCTACACTATAATGACTTCAAGCCTCAGTTTACAGGGTTGTAAGAATTTAACACCACAAAATCTCTCTTTCAAAATCTCTTTTTCAGAGTCGTTCAAGGCCCTGTTAAGGCCCTCCTTTTGTCTAAGGAGAACTCTGTTGAAGCTTTTTTACTCCACTACCCTTATTGAGGGCCATAGTGCTCTTTCTCCCCGCAACTCTTGGCTTCAGGTCTCTGCTGTCTTTGACTTGCCACTGCAGGTGCATGCTGGTAAGAGAGAAGAGTTGCCATGAGAAACTTTACCTTTTGTTTCCATGTTCCTGACATGGAATAGGTTCTTCCTTTGACTTTACCAGCAATATTTCACTGAAGATTAAGAAATAGAGTAATGTACAATTGCAAGTGGGAGCAGGTTTTATGAAGTACCACTGATCCAACAATATCTTCAATTTCCTGTCTTCCCTGCCTCAGTGTAGCAAGGGATACTGCATCCTCACCACTGGAAAGCCTCTAAGCATTTCCATGCCTGAGAATCTAAGTCCAGTTTCCAAGTAACACAGGGAGAAGTGCCAAGTTTATCCCAGGCTAAGGTCTGACTCCTAAGTTTTACTTTGTTCTCTGGAACATAATCAGTAATTATTATTTCCATCAAGAGAAAACACCCACAGAGGTAAGTCGATCTGTAGATACAGGTTAACTATATTAAAACATAATGGTTGGGCCTCCCTGGTGGTACAAGAAGTTAAGCACAGCATTATGAAGCTATCCACAGCCACTGTAGCATGAGTTCATTCCCCAGCCATGGAGCAGCAGACCTCTCCTACCTCTCCCGCTGCTCCCCTCTGCAGTGTATTTCAGTAGATCTGCCTGTCCTGCTCCCCACTCTGTCTCTGGTGAATCCTCTCAACCCCTGCCCCCACATTTCTGGTCTATACCCCAGTTCTAGTATGCATAAATAAATAAATCTTTAAAAAAATAAACAAAAAACCATGATGACCTAAGAGCAACACATTTTCTGGAGATTGAGTCTTCCAGAACTAGCAGTAAATATAGTCAACCAGAACCGTCAGCTGCATAGCCCAGTGTGATAGACCACTTTATGGTATTTAGCCCTGTTCATAGCCTTGAAAGCTTCCTTCTGGTCCTTCTTATGACAGCTAATAGGACCAAAGATGGAAATCTGACCCTTGTTGGACAGGCTTGATTCTTATGCTTGGAAATTTGGATTTGGGACTGACTAGTGCTAATTTCTTTTTTGCTTGTGCAAACCACAAATATAAAGTTAGGTGAAGATATCACTTTTTGGGCCCTTATATAGTAATAAACAGGAAAAAATAGAGCTGTATACATAAAGCAAAGCATAAACATAGGTAAAATGACAAAGCAACTCTAGAGATACCAAGCTTCATTTTCTTCATTCGAGATCCCAGCCTCTTGTAATCTCCTAAAGTCCAACAAACTTCCTGCCCTTGGGAGTCCATGATAGTCTGAATCCTTATAAATAAGTTCACTCTTTAGCTTATGCTAGCTGGAGTAGGTTCTGATATTTAAAACACAAAAGAACACTAGAACACTATCTAAGATAGCCCGTCCAAATGGGTTACAGTTCTGTCTTTCCTTCTATTGTGAAAGGAAGATTTCACCTTCATGCTTTTTCTTCCTGCCTTCTCTGTTAGCACCTCATCTCCTGAAAGCAACATAAATCAAGTTATGCATAAATCCACAGGTACAGCTAAAGATTTAGGCACATAAGAGTCTGAACCCTCAGAGTAATAAAGTAGATTACTAATAAGCTTACACAACAAGTTATCTAACCAATCTAGTATTTAACTTCATATTCTAAAACAATGCATTTGGATAACTTCATAGTTATTAAAATTTATACAACAAAGCTAAGGTCTGGAAGCTGAATTCAAACCTCTATCACCCATAAGACCAAAATTGATTTCAGCTTTTAAACCACAGTTTTTACAGAGACTTACTCATTAAAGTTTCCAAAACTCTTGGGACTGAAGTTACAAAAGGCTTTTTTTGTACATGTCAGTAAGAAACCTTGGTCCGGACAGAGAAGAGTGCTCATGATACACCCACAAAAATTACAGGTGAGAAAACACATCTAGAGCTTTTCTTAAGAATGTTTCATTGTGGATTTAGGTTTCAAGAATAGCAAGGCAAGCCTCAGTTTACCGACTGAGAAGAGAGGGCTTGCCACTTTCAATTTGGAAAGGAAGAAATCCAAATCATTTCAAAAACTTGGTAAGCTCTTTGCTGATGTTGTCCAAATCATCCAAGTCAGTGATGTTGTCCTTCAGAGTACCATCAGGTGGGATGTGAACACCACCAAGGCCCGAGGGACACAACCCAACCAGAAAGCATTGGCATTTCTCCATGAACTTGTAAACACTTGCCTTTTGGTAACTTGCAATTGGTGGGCGGGATTTCCTTCAACTGTTATGAAAGTAAAACTTTGCCTGAAAGTATTAGAAAGTGAGAAGGGGAGTGTGAAAAGCCTGACCACACCTACAAAAAATAGTTTGGTTAATATTAATGCTCTTCTCTTCTGCAGCTATGGACACCTTGAAGGGAAGCCAAGAGGACCAAGAAGAAAGCAGCAGAGAGGAGAAGAAGCCACATTCAAGCTGAGCACCTGACACTCAGCTGATTCAAGGAAACCTGGTGGTAGGGCTTCCCTCACCACACCCTCAGTCCTCCAGTAAAAGTCAAAGCCAGGAGAGGGAGGCAGTGTTCCCAAGTATATAGCCCTTTTAACTGTGAAGGAGCTAGGTTGAATTGGTGGGAACCGGGAGCATATGTTGATTTTGACAACCCTCATTTTACTAAGAAAGCCAAATCTAACCCTCCACATTGAAGCTAGTGCTTCCCTTCCAGGCATATAAGGCCAAGATAAGATTTCACAGACTCAGAAGAAGTACCCAGAGGAGATAGTTTGGAATTTCAAAAGACCCCAGGTGGAGACCCAGCACCCTGGAGGGGAGACTGCGAAATCTGCCTAGTAGAATTATCTTGACAGCTATGCTCTATCACTTCGAATACTACAAGCCTCAGCAGAATACCAGCAACACCGTATGATAACTAATAAACGATAAGAATTCTTCCCAAATAGTCCACAGAGGATCAACTGATAATTTGGGAGAGGAAACAACTTGAGTAGGAAGGAGAAAGGGTACACTGAGGACACCAAAGAAAAAGGTGGCTATATTTAATTTGATTACCATCCTTCTTGGACTCGGAGAGGTGAAGACCAAAATATCTTGGAGAAAGAAAGATGAAGGGTCAGTGTGGCAGAAAGCTCTGAAACTATGGGGCCTTTAACTTAGTGGCACTCACAAGGTGGCTTGGTTGTGTAGCCCCAGCACAGTTCTTCATGGTTGCATGTGATCCAGAGTCCTGCAAAGAGCTCAAGGCCATTCTTGGTCACCAGGAACTTCACCCAGTCCATTGGAGATGCACAGATCTGCATTAGGAGGCTAAAACCACAGAGGCTGCCACAGAACATTCGGATGTAGATTTGTGTCTCCTCCACAAGCTGTTTCTGCCTCTGGTGTGTCATCGAGTCACTCTGAAGACCTTTAGTTGGGAGGGTAGGCTACAAGGATGAGGGAAATATTGCCTACCCAAAGAGATAACCCCTCATTCCTAGGGTCTCCTACTCTTTCTACCCTGAGTCCCCGTGTAAGTTTGATTTCTGCCTATCTTTCCCAAACTTTTATAAAAACAGAACCCCAAAATATTCAGGATACTCTTTTCTTTTTCTTTGGGACACTGTCTAGGCCCACCCTTAAGCGAGTCCTCTTCCTCCCAACTGACCTACAATTAGGGGCCTCCTCACCCTTTGGTATTGCCGGTACTCCTTATATTTGGGAACATCAGGATTGTAGAAGGTCATGACTAATTGTTCCTTCTTCTCCATCTTGGCAGTCAGTTCTAACTGTCACGGAATTTGTCTCAGCCCCTCCTTACACAGGCTGGCAGAATCAAAAGAGACCGGAACCTGTGGCACAGATTCCGTTTCTATTTCATCTTCCAGGTCTGGTCCAATCAGGAAGAAATCTCACATTTTAACCATGAATGTGTATGAGTGATAACCCCACCCTCCCTTCTCTGAGACTTGCCAGTTAAATTAAATCTGTAAATATCTTGTCAGCTGTTGCTATGTGTCAATTTATTTGTGCTGGATCCTGAAACACACAGATGAACACGACACAATTCTCTAATAGAAAAGTGTAACTCAGATGAAACTAGGACTCAATAGTTTATGGTTATAATTTAAGATTATGTAGATAATCTTCTCTACTTATGAAGCCATTTGAGGGTGCTCAGCCCCTACCACTGTCATGGCTAATGGGAACCACTCATGAAAATGCCAGTATCCTTGGCTCTGGGGGCTACCAGTTGGGTATTCAGATACAAGATATTCAGAAGTGCGATCTATGCAGATGTGAGATCAACATTTCCTGGGCTCTACTGATAGCACAGTTTGTTCTGAGACTTAAAGTCTCCTTTTCAAACTATTCTCTCAAACTGGTCCTAATTTCTCTCCCCATAGGCATCAAAATTAATCCACACTATTCCACAGTGTGAAAGTTGATTCAAATTAATGTCTACATTACCAGCTCTGGTTTTTCTCAAATAAACTTTGTTTCCTAAATTTAGGCTGACTCATAATGCCCTATAGCAGTTTTCTTTTAGTCCACCCTCTCACCACTCATCTCAACCTGTTGAAATCTATTCTCCATTTCAGCTGGTAGGAACAAATGGCAGTAGTAAGGTTATGTCCTTGTTTTAGCACATAGCTCTTCTTCTGTAAAAGTACTATTTGGTTCTGTCTCTCTATACTTAGCATAGTGCCTGGAAAGAATAGCAATGTTGAATGAATGAGTAAGCAATTCATTTTTATATGAAGCAATTAGCAATTTGTTTTTATATGAAATATAGAGTTATATCAAGGATAGAATGGTTAACATTGTCAGAGGCATATTAGGGGAGCTTTGCTATAAGAGGTGATGTATTGGCTGTATTTTAAAGGAATTTGCCTGGTAATCAAGGTGGAAGGACATCTGAGGCAGAGAATGAACTGATGTTTCAGGGCAGGCAGCCGCAAACAATATGATGTTCTTTCTATTAGGAAGCTCCATTGGGAATAAAAATAAAATCTAAGTGTTGAGAGTTGCAGCTATAGACAAAATCTAGATCATAGTCTTTTATGCAGTGTCTTGTAGTTTTATTGTAATACTTCAATAGTTGCAATACCCTATCCTGACTGGTGTGAGTATCAGAAAAACTTTTTCCATCTGCAGCAATGACTTACATAGCATGAAAGATGTATGACTAGAGCACTAGAAACAGGGAGATCTGCATTGTATTATGGTTCTGACATTTACTGTTTTAGGGTATCAGTATCCTGAGTCCAATTTCCACAGAAGAGTGTGTGACAGCTTTTCTACACCAATATGCAATTCTTAGGCATCCACAAAGTTCCAAGAATTCAACTCAATTCTGACATTATCTACCCAAAGAAGCATTAGATTCCATAGGCTAATATTCTTGTTGGTGTTAATTCAATAGCTAAGATATGGAAGAAAATTAAGTGTTTGGTGATAGAAAATTAGATAGGGATACATACAGAGAGAAAATAATATCCTAGTCAGTTATAAAAGATGGAATATTGACATTTGTAGCAAACCAGGAGAAACTTGAGAGCACTATGCAAAAAGAAGTTAGCCAGAAACACAAATAATGGATGACTTCACATCCGTGGGTAATATAAGGAGACAAAGCAGGTGAACTGTCAAAAAGCAAAATAAAAGCAAACTAGTGGATGGCTCTCCCTGGTGGGCAATGGGTAAGGACACAGAACTGCAAGCTAGCTGCAGCCACTTCAAGGCAAGTTTCTCCGCCCCTGTTCCCCAAGTGGTATGGCAGACCTCTCCTGTCTAGCTTCACTGCTCCCCTCAGCAGTGTATTTCAACACATCTGCCTGTTCTGCTCCCCACTCTGTCTCTGATGAATCCTCTCACCACCCTGAACCTCTGGCTTGTACCCCATTTCTGTATGCATAAATAAAATATAAAAAAAAAAGACTAAGGGGACAAATTAAAGATAAATAAACTAGTGGACACTGATAAATGAACTGAAGGTATCAGGGTTTAAAAAGGGTGGGAAATAGTAGAAAGGGTTAAACAGATGTAATGTATGGTGGTAGAAACTTTGGTTTTACTTTTCCCTTACTTTTTAAAAAAATTGAAACACAAAGACTGATGACATAGAAAGTAAAGTTGTAAGAAGGACAGATGACTTCTCATTAAATTTGATGCAAAATATTTAAAGAAATACCAGCTATAAAGTGTTGTTAAAAATCAATCTATAACTTTCTACTCAGAAAAAATACATTAGGTCAAAATGCACTGTGTCAAACAGCTAGTAAGTGGTGTTAAGGAGGATTCAAATTTAAATTTGTTTGAACCCAGATGGTGGTCCTTTAACATGACAACTACAATTTGGTTAAAGGTCACAGAAAGTATGCATATTTACAATAAAAAAAAGACCACCTTTAAATTCAAATGCTGGTTGTAAACCCAGGTTATTATACATGATCATCCAGCCATAAGTCAGAGGTTCCCTAGACCTCCTTTCACAGGTTCTATTAATTTTAGAGCAGCTCACAGAACTCAGGAAACCTGTTTGTGCATTAGATCACCAAGTTATTAAAGGATAAGAATCAATAACCAGATGAAGAAAAACAGGGTGAGCCTCCAAACAATGGAGCGAGTGTCTTTTTGGATCTTGGGACACTGCAATATAGCACATGCAAGTGGTCTGATTTCTCAGCCTGGAAACTCTCCAGAACACTTCTTCTTGGGTTTTTATAGAGGCTTCCTTCCTTAGGCAAGGTTGACTAAACCAATGACCATTGGCTATTGAACTCTAATCTCTAGCCCCTCTTCTCCTCCCTAGAGGTCTGAGAATAGGGCTGGAGGTTCTAATCCTTTAGTGACAGATTGGGTGTCTTAGCAACCAGGCCTCATTAACACAACATAACAATAGTCACCGTTATCATTCATAACACTTAGAACATTCCAAGGCATTTGGGAGCTGGAGCCAAGAAATGTGAATGAAGACCAAATATATATGAGAAATAAACTTGGTTACCTGAGTGATATAAAATAAATTATAATATTACACTTAGTTATATAAACAAACTGTAAACTGTCCTGGGCAACACTTTATAGCTGGTATTTCTCTGCTCTAACAGAAAAGAGAGCAAAGTCATATTCATAGGCTTGAAGTCTGTGAACAGCTATGCAAAATCTGCTGCCTGTGGACAAATTAGTCTTTTTAAACTGTACTAATGACCAAAGAGCCAGTTAAAGAAGAGTCAAGCAATGGGTCCCCAGTTTTTGGCAGTTCCACAGTACATTCTTCAGAAAAGAAGAGATTAAAACCAAGCATTGCCTTTCCCTATGGATAGGTCGAATAAGTCATTTTAGGTCAAAATAACTTAGAACCGGAAGCCCCCCTGTTAAGAATAACAACATTTTTAATGTCTATAACTCATGGTTCCTACTTATATAAACTAAATTCAAATTTGTGATTGTTGGAGCAGTTTTCATAAAGTAAATTCTGTCAGACAGGTTCAAATCCTCACTTTGGCAATCTAATAAACTCTTTGTCTATCATTGAGATTTCGTTTCATTTAACAGTTATAATGATATGTGGCTAGGTTCTGAACTCAGTTTCCTCAACTCTAAAACTGGAATAAATACTATTTCTGCCTCATTGAATTTTTGTGACAAACGAGCTAATGTATATAAAGTCTTAACACAGTGCCTTAGTAAGTACTAACTAGATGCTATCCATTATTGATGGGTGTTGGTATTACTAATATGTATCTATATTGAACAATTGCCATGCGATCAGTAAAACCTGTCTATTATTGTTTTTTAAAATGTCTTTCCAAGTTTGCTTGAATATGACCTTGGCACAGGCCTCCCTGAGTAGCTGCAATACTAATGTTAGTGGAAAGGATGTGTGACTCCTCACCCCTTCACTAGTGGCACTAAATATCCATATTACCATGGAGAAATCAGCGTCATTAACATGGGGTAACAGGTCATTTTGTGAACAGCATGACTGGGTAAATGATGCAACTCTCAAGCATCATGTAGATTCAGGTCTACTTCAACACCTGTATCAAGTAGGATGTTCTGGCCTGCTGGAAACTTGCTCGATCCTGTACTATCAGTGGCAAAGTAAACATTTCTTCATATATGGTGACTGTGTGTATATTGCTGTTTTCCTACTTTACAAAGTACTTTGGGTCCCTGGTCTGTGTGTGCATGTTTACGGAGGCTTCCCAGGAGCCTGTGGGCAGGGGGGATTGTAACTGACCACAGCCTCTGGACAGAGAGTCGTGGACACTGACAGTTACTGTATGGAGCTGCTGTGCAAAGGAGGTTATAAATAAATAAAGTTTATTTATGTTCTCTCCAGAATCCTGAAGCTCTGTTTTTGTATTGAACTGGTTCAATATGATACTAGCTCAAGTTGCTAAAGACTCTGTTTCTGAGAAAACAATTGGATTGGTGTAAATAAATTGGGGGAATAAACCATAGAGAGATCAGCGGTGACAATCTACTATATCAGCATGAGACAATGAGCTTTGGAAGGTCTGTGCACAGATGAGACAAGCCCCATTTCTGGATCACTAAAGACTTCACAACCCTAGTAAATATAAAAAGATCACTCACATGGGATTTGAGAAGAAAAAGGATGGGAAGTAGACAATATACAACATACTATGACTAAAAAATCATTGGATGACAGAGAAACAAATTTGTGTAATACATTTCAAGAACTAGAAAATTATTTTGCAAAAATACAGTTTTCTTTATTTACCACTAAAAATACTGTTTGTACAGATGTCTGTGCAGATCATGCCACAGGTCATGTTGGAAAAACACAAGGTATCTTCAGGGGCTTGCCAGCAAAGCCATCTTTGTTAGAGCTTGATTTTGCCTATGTGGAATTTTTTGGATGCTTGATCTTTATTCAAAATAGTATGAATCTTTGAAGAGCCACTAATTCCTTCCAACTGCTTTATGTGGTTGTAACCTTGCCAGGTCGCTGAGGGAAAGCCGAGAGGATACTCCAGGCCCAGGAGCAATACATATAGATGGGGCCTTTGACTCAAATCTCTAAGGAACACTCTATACGGGTGAGCTAAGCATCACTATGCTGGTGCCACAGGGATGCCTGTTGCCTAGACTACATCATGCCCCAGGTCCCCCTCCTCTGGACACCCTGGCATCCTCTCCCCAGTTTGCTCCCAAGTGAAAGGGGCTCGGGGAATTTTCTGTGTCACTCACATGGGAGACAAATTCTAAAAAGGATAAGCAACACTAAAATTGAGGAAACCCAAGAGAAATACCCAAAAGGCTTTCCAAAGAGCAGTAAGACATTTTTACTGCACTCTTAGGACTAAGAAGTCTCCCCCAATATCAATAAAATTGGAATTTAAGAAATTTGTTTCATAGTAATGTGTCACTAATGTTAAAATTAGTGGGATGTTAAAGGGCCATAAAGCTGAAGGGATCTATGCCTTAGGGTTCTTGGAGGCTGTAAATTGTAAATGGTTATTAGTCAAGAAAGGAAAATAAGATCTAGAAGAGCCAGGAAGGAGAACAATGGGGAAAGGCATGTCAAGAGTAATCTTTCAAGGTAAAATGCAATAGGCAATAATGTAAAGTTAAAAGATTTTCTGTAGAGGACTTGTATGTTTAGTTTAAGGATTCATCAACATTCCAGCTTTCTTTATGGAGGTTTCGGATTCCTGGTTGTGGTTAGCATTAGCATTTACCACCACCCAGTCTCTAGATATGATGGTCTAAAAGTATCAAAGGTGGCCCAAGATAATCTGAGTCCAGAGTAGCCATCACAATAACAGGAGCAGTCAAAAAGTAGAAGAGCTAAAAAGACACTTCTCCAAAGTGGAAATACAGGCACATGAAAAAATATTCAACATCACTTATAACCAAGGAAATATGCAAATCAAAACCACAATGAGATATTACCTCACACCAGTAAGAATGGCCCGTATTTTAAAAAGCAGGCAACAGGGCCCTCCCTGGTGGTACAATGGGTTAAAGCACAGCACTAAGAAGCTATAGGGAGCCACTGAAGCATGAATTTGATCTCCAGCCAGGGAGGTGACCCACATGCGGCAGCGGACCTTTCCTGGCCTGGCCACTGCTCCCCTCAGCAGTGTACTTTCTCAATCAGCCTGTTCTGCTCTCTACTCTGTTTCTGGTGAAGCCTCTCACCACCCCTGCACTTCTGGCCTGTACCCTACCTCTGCATGCATAAATAAATAATTTTTTTTTTTAAAAAAAGAGAAGATAGAGTAATTCCAATTCCAACTGTGCCACTATTAAAAGCAGTTGTTGCTAATAACTATTTTCAACACAGAGAAAGTTATTTCAGAAGGGATTGGCTGAAAACATTTCCTTTAGTGACAGTAATAGAAGTTGGGATTAGCCATTCTCTTACAATGACACCATGTTGTTGGCAAATCATATCTTTTTGAGGACTTGTGTGAATAACTAATAACACAATAATAAATGAGCAATAATAGGAAGAAACCAATTAGCCTCTCATTTCTCTGCCTGGAAAAAGATTGTTTTCCAACATGGGAAATAGAATTCCCTTCCTGTGCCTCAGCATACTTTCAGATAGGACCTGAAAGGTAATCTCCAAGACTCCACATCTAAGTAGCCAGACCTGAAAGGGCAGACCCACTTGCTGCCCTCAAGAAACCCACCAGAATGTAATCATCATCATTGGATTTCTACAGAGACAGGACACAATTCTTGTTGCATTTTGCATGTTACAAAGTGTTAACAGCAACAATTCAATAAACTTTAAGGAAAACTCTATATAAAATATTCCATTAGATCTTACGGGTTTGCAAAAATGGGTAAAAAGTGGTCCAGGCCCTCTTAGAGCTTCATATCCAGTGGGGTTCTTGGATATAGGCATAAATATTCAGAACACAGATTTGATTGTGCTAAGTGCTGATACTCTGACTGGGGAGATGAGAAGAATATTGATTTCACAGAGCAATGAAGTAAGATCTCCAAAGGCACAGACAGGCACAAATCAGAGGGTCTGGGCCTAGAAAGTCTGGGGACATTTCGAGACTTATGTAACAAGGAGTTATGGGGGAATAGAGAATATAGGGGAGTGGAAGTGATGATAAGCTGGGAGGAAAGCAGACTCTCAGAAAGGAGAGCTGAAAAGTGATGAAGAGGGGGGGAGATGGGAAAATGTGAGGACTTAAGGGAGGCATTAGGAGTTGAGAGATGGGAAAGCCATCCAGGAAGAAAAGAGAAAGGGAAATCTTTTGTTTTTCCTCCAAACCCATGCTCAATATGCCATCTTTTCCCACCCCTTGGATCCATTCCTGCCTGTTGGCTTTGGAAGTCAACTTAAAAGTCACCTCCTCTGACCCCTCCTTGGTGGCACAGCAGGTTAAAGCACAGCACTAAGAAGCTAAAGACACTGCAGTATGAATTCAATTCCTGCCCTGCAAGCGATCCACATGGTGGGGCAGACCTCTTTTGACCCACCCAATGCTCCCCTCACAGTCTGCCTGTTCTGCTCCCCACTCTGTCTCTGGTGAATCCTCTCATAGCCACTGCACCTCTGGCCTGTACCCCAGTTTTGTACGCATAAATAAATAATCTATAAAAAAAGAAAAGTCACTTCCTCAAAAGACATCCTCAGGCAAAATTTGCCATTCTTTCCTGCTTCTACAGTGATGTCTCTATTTTATGAACCAAAAATATGGCCACAGCCTGTGATTTTTTTCCTGATATGTAAACAATTTTTTTAAGAAGCTATAGATGTGGAAATTAGATGTCTTATTCATTTAACAAACATGGTACAAAGGAACACAGAAAACAACTGAATATCACATACTTGCCCCCCAAAGTTCAAGCAATACCTTACTACTTGCAGCGAGGGCATATTCATTCTAGTGGAGTTTTGACTGAAGGGAGAGAGTGGAGCAGTTACTAGGGTATTTGTTAGCAACCAACAAGGGAAGAATCCACCGTAGAGGGAGGAAATCGGGACGGCTCCAACTTGCTCGGAATTACACATCCTGTTCGCAGCCCTGAGCAAAAGTAAATCACGACATTGTGCTCTTATGAAGTCTCTCACTAGCAAAGTACCCAATTCCCTCCCCTTTCCACCACACAGAACAACGTACAGCGACCCGCGGCGCCGTTGACCTTCCAGCACGCCTGGCCATTCTTTCCGCGATAGAGATTCAAAGTAAGAGTCCCCAGTCTGGGAAAATCTGGGAAACTTTCTTCCCCGGCTCGCCAGCTCGTCTGCCCCACTGATGCTTCCGCAATCTGGGGTCCTTACAGATCGGGGGCCTGACTTCTGAGGTGGCACATTAATTACCGCGCCCCTAGATCCCTGAGCCGCCTGCACCCGAGCCACCTCGAAGCCTCGCGGGATCTGAGGCACGCAACAAGAGCTCCCCCACCAAGCGCCCAGGGGTAAGGGGCTGGTCCTCTGCGGTGGCCGTCAGAGAGCCGCCTCAAGTCACGTGACACATCGATTGTCACGTGGTCGTCCATCACCTGACCAGGGTCTCACGTGGCCCAGCCGGCTGGCAGCGAGGAGACCGGCTGGCCATGGCAACCTCCACGCTTTGGTTTTCGCTGCTGCTGGCGGCAGCGATCACTGGGCGAGCCACGGCTCTCTGGCCTTGGCCCCAGTACATCCAAACCACCAGCTATCACTACACCATTTCCCCAAACAACTTTCAGTTCTTATACCACGATCAGTCGGCCGCGCAGGTGGGCTGCTCAGTCCTTGACGAAGCCTTCCGACGCTACCGAGTTCTGCTCTTTGGTACCAGGAATTGGCACCATTTCCCACATGGTGAGTAAGACCTGCCCCGCTTCGTTCCAGGCTTCTCAGAAAACCTGCCTTGGGGCAGCGCCTCCTGGTCTCCTGCGACGCCCGTCTTTGAGATTTTGTCAGCTCTTCTCACACAACTCTAGTCTGCACTTCCTCCTGCCGCTCTTACCCGCTGTCTTCTTAGCCTCCTCCAAGTTTAGACCCCCATCGCCAACCACTTCATTGATTTACGTTTGGGAGCAGGATTTTAACCCTGCCCATAGCTTACATTTTCACCAAAAATTCCAGCCATAGGATCACAGTTCAGTTACTGAAAATGCCTTTCATCTGTGGTGATCCCTCTGCCCACGTTCAGATGTCACAGTTAGTTCTAGTTAGTCTGTGACCAGGACTGTGTAGAGGAGACTAGAGCTGTTGGCACCCAAAATTGCTAAGAAAAAACATGAGAAATGTATTGACATATGCAAGTGACATAGAAGTGTCGGACACATAGCATATTCAAAAAATGTTTAAACTGTGAGAGAAGTCATAAAACTTTCCTTCGGGAAAGAAATGAGTATTGAGCAACTTCTTAAAGTGAGGTGGTGAATATACCCAGTTACACTGAAACTCAAACAGGTGGGCTGGTGTGTGTGATGAGTTTGGCAAAGAGAGGTTGAAATGAAGTATCAGGAGTGCTTTGGATATTGGTTTCAACTAAATTAGAAACTGGCAATTTTCTTTAAGGCAACTGCTGAAAAATTGTGTTTGAGATTGTCATTTCACAGCAAATGGATGAGTAGAGTCAGTGACACAAAGGAGTAAAATTTTATGTTATAAGCTTAAAATTAGAGTTTTCTTGAAAATCTGGAATGTATACTTCTGGTCATAATCTATGTGTTTATGGGGAAGCCATATTTGGTTGGGCCATATGGTAATATTTTGTGTGATGGTTCAGGTGTGCTTAAATAATTTTCACAAAATGTTCTCATTTGATACATAAATTTATAATTAGAGAGTGAAACGATGTAGGGAAAGAAATAGTCTCAGCATGAAGATTGTTCTTAACTGGTAAGATGCAGTAGGCTGGAAGGATGAAAGATCTGTTATTATGTATATTGTAGATCACATATTTTTATGATAATAGAATGCCTTATCAGAACAAGAACATGTTTACTTTGATTATAGGACAGTTAAGGCCTGACTTGTGCAAAGACAATATACCTGCCACCTAACTCATATGTGCCTGTTCCAGTGCTGGGCATTATGGTGGTTAAAATCTAGGCCCAAATTTTGCAGTCCAGTTGGGAAAATGTGAAGCTGAAAGACACAGTGATTATAAAATGCTCAGAAGATAATTAAAATGTTTACTACTATTGTATAAATTAGAAAAATTCCTTTTCTTGTAAATTAAGCCTTTTACTCTGTAGTAAAAGGACTACAGTTTAATCAAGCTAATAGAAGTAGAAGAGGTTATGCCCCTTATTAAAGAGATTTACAGACAAGAAACTAAAGACATTTGTTTCAGTTTATTACTGTCTTGTGAATGAATTTGCTTTATTGGTTAGGGTTCTTGTCGGTTAGGGTTCTTGTCCATTGAGATGTAGTGAAAATGGGTTTGGATGAACATTACCAAAGATGTGCATACAAATAACTTCCTTCCCTATTGCTTTTACCTATATAACCTTCTTTTTGGAATGTAGTTTCCTGGACTTTCAATGACTTGAGCCTAGTTCAAGTCTGATTTCCTTGAGCTATCAATGCTGCCCTTGTCTTGGCTGTTCAGCTTGAAGATCGTATGTAATGGAGGACTCATGGTCTGCAACATGATCAAAGAATATTAATTAGTTGCTTATTTAATCATGTGGCCTTAGGTGCACTGCCTAATTTTCAAACAACTGATGCTTTAAAAAAAATAAACCTGCATTTCAGTCTTTTATGATGAGAAAGAGAAGAGTGATGATTGTCTTTACCTTCTTTGGAGGAAACTTGTTGATTTTAAAGAAGAAAGAACGTGCATAGATCAGATAATGACCAGGCATATGGTAAGAGAAATCAGCTGTTGGGAATTGATTTTTAAGAAGGCAGGAGATAAACTGAAATTCACCTCCTAATTAAAAAAGGAAATAGGCACTTCCTGGTGGCATAGCACTGCAAGCTAGCCACCGTGCTTGGTTGCGAGTTCAATCCCTGCCCTGGAGGTGATCCACATGGCACAGCAGACCTCCCCTGTCTTCCTGGCTGCTCCCCTCAGCAGTGTACTTTATCAGTCTGCCTGTCCTGCTTCCCACTCTGTTTCTGGTGAATCCTCTCACTGCCCCTAAACTTCTGGTCTGTACCCCAGTACTATATGCAGAAATCATAAATCTTAAAAAAAAAAAATTCGGCCCATCCTGGTGGCACAATGGGTTAAGAGGCAGCACTGCAAGCTAGCTGCAGCCACCTCAGTGCAAGATTGACCTCCAGCCGTGGAGGTGACCCACATGGTGCAGCAGACTCTCCTGACCCGCC